CTTCCTCTCAAAATTGGATTTAATTGCCCTTCTAAGTTGTGCAAAAATAGAAACACTATTTGTTGTGGGTCAATCCCAGTTCAGCCAAAGTGGGGCAGGGGGAAGAAAAAGAAAATAAATCATTTGGCTCAAAGTCTTCTAGAGCATCAGGCCAACATCAAGCGACTGAACTGAAAGGGCAACTGCATTTGTAAAGCCTTTGAGAAGTTTACTAGATAAGCAAACATAATAAAATTTAATGCTCACATTTCCTATGCCTCTCACAGCTTTAGTTTCATGGGCCATAGGGCAACTTCTCTGGAAATTGAACCAGCTAATGCACTGTGTGGTGCCACCCTGAAAGTGACTCCATGACCCTTTTACTCTGCAGCTATAAAACGATTTCCTAAGGACAGATTCCTTCTGCAAGTTACAACTACAATTAAATACATTTGGATAAAACCCACAAAATTTACAGCACAGCCTTAAAATACATGACCATGCTATAAAGATGGTCTAGAAATTAAAATTGTTAAATTGTGAAGAAAGACATGTCCAAAACAGAAGCCAGAAAGCTTTCTGAGGTATTATTTTTAATCTTTACATAGAATTATTATTTCCACTGACAATTTACTATATTCACTCCACTCTCGTGCACTTCTCGGTTTTGTCCCATTTGCTTACAGCCAATTTCCCATTGCTGTTTGAGTCTTTTACAAACAGGCTAGCTGAACATGGAAAAACCAAGGAGAATTCAAATATGGGAAGACGGGCTGTACTCAGGAGTGGTGCTCTCAGGAGGCTTTCTTCAAGAACGGCTCAAGAGAAACTGAAATATCAGAAAACTTTTTATATATATACACACATATCTATCTCAATCTGTTTATTTCTGTGCTCTCTAAATTAAATCTCACTCCATGATGTGTGTTTCACATTTCAAATTTCATAGGGCTTGAAACAGTAAGCTAAAACCAGGAGTACCTATAGCACCCTAAAGAAAAAATAACTTGAAGAAGCTAGAACTAGTTCTAGGCCTTTTGCATCTGCCCCACAGAATCCAAGTTGCTCCATGGTTTGCTAGATCATCTCTGTGTGGGAAATGGAAAAGAAACTCAAAAAGAAAGGTGATGTTGGAACCCATTCATACCAAGAAGTATTTTGAAAAAACATGGAGGGCTCTCACTTATGACCCAAGCAACAGTCTTATTGTTCACCAATGATATAACAAGACCTGACAATTTAAACTGTACAAAAATTAAAGCATAACCAACAAAAATATAAGGGCTAGAAAAACATGTTAAACACATTCCAAGAAATACACATCAATTGTCTACTAAATGGTAAGATGTCATAGTGTATAGGTTAAAAAAAAAAGAAAACTTAAAATAATAGAAATCATATATTCCATTAAAACACTGATATTTCAATACATTTGATCTGACTAGCAAAGAGACAAAAATGAGTTCTCCTGACCACATGACAGATTTTATTATTTTTTCCTTCAGTGAGTCAGAAGATCTCAGCCAAGTCTAACATGCAAAAGCAATACTGAGTAAAGCCTTATAAAAGCTGAAATAGCTATAAAGCATTAAAAATTATGGTCTTTTCTTTGTAACTACCACTACAACTCAAGATAGATGCAAAAATACAGTTGTACCATCTTATTTCAGAATGTAATTCTGAAGACAGTCCACCACTAGGGAACTGTAATTCAAATTTGAATTACAGAAAGGTGAGATGAGTTGCTTTTACAACTGGAAACCTTAGATGAACAAATATATGTGTTAAATTCTTTGTGCTTAAAAAGCTAAAAACACATTCAAAATATTGGCATCTATGTTGACAACATGAAAACTCAAACATAAATATCCTGTTATTCTTGCTGCTTCCCATTTGTTGAGAGCAGTTGACTCCTCACAACTGCTTAGAAAGAGTAAATTAGATCTGCTCCTCTGTACAATTACAGGATGCAAGACATCAGGCCACAACTAACACAAAGAAAATTCCAACAAGGAAGATTCTAACTTGATTAAGAGAGAAGGCAACATCCATTTTCCAAAAGGAAGCCAACTGAATGAGTCAATTATTCTGGGGTGCTGAATTTTACTGCTATGTAAATATACAATTAAAAAAAAACCTTATCTAGTCATTAACACAGTACTTCTTCATTTCTAAAACTGGAATGGTGTCAAGCCAGCTAGTAACAATAAACATACTTTGCATTTCAAGGTTAATGAAACAGATCTAATTTTATAGCAAACATGATGACCCTGAATTGCTGCCAAAACATTCCTGGGACTAGAGCTCGGAGGCAGAGGCCAAATCCTTCAACACTATGTAGCATGAGATGAAGGACAAAGGACTAAGTACTGAAAAAAAAATTATATCTATGTGAACGCGAACTTTGTCTATCACAATCAACACTTGCTGTGTGCCGAACACGTTATTTTCAACCATTGCTATCCCTACAGTAGTAGTGCTCGTGTTTCTTTCATGAAAGGAAAAAAAAATAAATTTAAAAGAGTATGCCACCACAATCCTAATTAACAAGTGTAGTAATCATAAGCAAACCTGCAACAGACCTTCAACCATAAATAGTATGGTATAAGAGAGGAACTGTGAGAAAACAAAACATCCCCTCCCTCCATCTCCTGGATTGTTTTTCATTTGCAGAGGGCATAAGGGCTCTGAGGGGAAGCTGGAGAACACTTCTTAGAAGATTATGAATATCAAGGGAGTCATGGAGCTGACCCTCATCCTTTTTATCCAGAGTTATGCCAAGCCACACTCCCTTTTTCTTCTTCTCAATCATTTGTAATAATATGTGTTCTCCATAAGTGGCAAAACTATGCATTAAGTATGTGTATATATGCTTGATGTATATGTATACATGTACTCTGCTGAATACCACAGTTTGACAGCAAGATTTATTTTTTTAAAGTCCTACATGCTTAAAGGTTGTCTTTATCACCCTTAGCACACAGTGTAAAAATAGCATATGCATAACTGAAGTCTAACTTAATCTGAAATTCTGAATGCTACCTTCATGAAATACCTGTATCAAGTTTTATCAATTCCCAACTTTTTCAGAAGCAAAAAGTCTACCTGCAAGAAGTAATGTATACACATAGTAATGTTATGATCACAGGGGAACCAGTCTCTTTTTTTCAGAGTAAAAATAAGAACTGTCATGAATCCACTATCCATTGGTTAGAGTATAAAAATGTGATATACGCTCTTGAGGCAAGTGTGGTGCTAATACTTCATCATAAAAGTTGTTAGAGGCTTCTTTTAAAATTGAAGCTTGTTCTCTATAAAGTATACTTGAAGTGAACTTAAATAGCATTTAAGTTAACTGAAATCATGAACGCTTTCGGTTGATGCATAGTTGAATTCACCCAAGGAAGTTAGCTTTCTTAATATATACCCCAGCCAGTGCTCAACATTTAACAGTTACAGTTCTGTATTTATTAGAATAAACAAGACTGATCTATATGACTCAGTCACCACAGCATCACTAACAATCTAACTAGATAAAAAGATCTGTCATCTTTTTTGTAACCTTCTCCACATAAACGCTATTTCTGCAACTTCTTGGAAAATTAAGCAATTAATCATGTTTACGCTTCCTGAAAGACAGCCCTCCTACCACACAATACACATCTTAGCAAGCCATCTATTACAGGCAAACCGTCATCAGAAAAGTCTGTCATTTTCCAACACTGTACTCATTAATAGAAATTTGATAAATTGATACAGTTCTAATAGATGACACCATCACTACACCATCGCATTTTTTTTTCAATTTAGCTTCAGTGTCAGAGGTGCAATTAAAAAGAACTCTGCCTATTTTTACTCAGAAACACATCTTTTGAAAGATAACAAGTCTCTGAAAGCAAAGCTAAAATTGACTGTCACCTTGTGATGTGTGAAAAGTTATTTACTAGTATAATAATTACTTGTATCAGACTCTCTCGATCAGCCCACAATAGCTCTGAAACATAACCAAACCCAAGCATGTATGCAACTGCCTACTGTTGAAGACTCCATTTAAAAAAAAAATAATGCAAGGATGCAACTTCACATAGCACTTTTTGACCGGGATGGCTAACAGAATAGAAGACATTCACTGACATACTCTTACACAGCGTAACCAGCTGATCAAAACATAACAACGTGATTAAAAGGTTGATAGAAGCCAAAATCTCCTTGCCCTCAAGCCCATAGCAGCATCACAACTAAAACGTCACCGAGCTTTGCCTTTTAAGAGCTGCAACATAAACCTCCAAGGAGAGCCCCTTCATGATGGGTACTGGTGAGGCCGGGAGGAGCTCTCACCACGCTGAAGGTCACGCCAGCCATCAGAGCCACCATTCGCCGCCAGAGCCTGGCATGTGACAGCACTTTAAGCACATACACCGAACGGACAAAACTTAACGCGCTATCTCTCTACGTTACCACGCCAGAAAGGCGCGGGAATGCTCTATCTGCTCCCCGCTGCCCGGCGGGTAGGCCACAGGGACGGCTCAGCCTCCCCCGCCGCCGCAGGGCCGGCCCGGGGCGCTCCCTCACGCCCAGACCCCCCCGCCGCTCCTACCCCAACCAACCGCACGGCAGCCGCCGCACGCCCGGCAGCCTGCGCCAGGCACGGCCGGTGCCCCGGGACAGCCCGGGAGGTGCCGTGGCTGGCCGGAGGGGAGGGAGAGCGCGGCCCTGAGGGGGCAGAGAGGGGGGAGCTCGCTAAATTGCCCCTGAGGCGGCAGAGCTACCCCGAACCAGGGTCTCTTACCCGCCCCGCGCTTCCTCCGGCACTCCTCCTCCTCCTCCCCGCCGCCGCCGCCGCCCGAGGCCCCCAGCCCCGCCTGTAATCAGCCGGCGACTGAGGAAGGACCCCGATGGTTTCCGCCCGGCGCCCGCCCCGGAACTACAGCCCCCGGCTCGCCGCGCGGCGCGAACGACAAGCCCCACAATGCGCCGGGGCCTGGTGCGGGCGGCCCCACCACCCCCTGCGGCTCGGCAGGGGCTGGGAGCGGGGCGGGGCCCCGGGCTGGCGGCTCGGCTCGGCGGCCGCGCCGGCCCCCTGACCCTGACCTCAGGCGGCGGCGGGTAGGAAGCGGGCGCTGCCTCCCTGCGAGGGTTCCCCGGGGACGCCGGGGCTCTGGGGCGGGCCGCGCACTCAGCCCCGTTGCGGGAGAAGCCGGGCGGGCCGGGGAGGGGGGAAGCGGCGCCGGCGCCGCCGCGCTGGCAGGGGCGCAGCCGTGTCCCGGCCGCCGCGGAGGGAGGCGCGGGAGGAGGCGAGGAGCTCGCCCGGGGAAGCCTGCGGGGCTCCTTCCCTCGCGTTCCGTTATTTTTTCGCGGGCGGATCGCCCAAGTCGGGATAGACCATGGAGAGGTGCCTCGGAGTAGGAGCTGCGGGACCCGGGCGTCGGGCTGCAGAGCCCCCGGGCTCCCGGGCACCTCCTCCCGTTTCTCGTTCCCCCTCCCGGCGTGTGTCGCCGGGGCCGAGCCGGGATGAGCGTGTCGGCTCGGCTGTGCCGCGCTGCCCCCGTCCGAGAGGGGAAAAAAGCCTGCCGAACGGGAAAAAGAATGTGGGAACGGGGAAAAGGTTTATGTAAGGGCATGATCCAAAACGGCATTGAAAATGGAAACTATGTTAAACTCCATAAGGAAAAACAAAAATAAAAATTTTACAAATGTAATGTTATTTAAACAAAAGCAGATCAGGGACATTTCTGCTGGCTGGCTATACTTCCCTGAACAAATTCTACAATGATTTGACTTTAGTTTATCATAGCTATTAAGACTTTATTCTCCAGTTTAGCTTTTGTCATTTCATATTACGAGCAACAGAATAAATTATCTTGTATAATGGAATGAGGTGCCTTCTTTCCAGGTAGGAGAGGGATGCTGTAGCCAAGCAGTGCTGCCCAATGTCTCGAAGCACCAGCTTTTTTCCCTACTCTGCCACAGACTTCCTCAGTGAAGCTGTGTAAGTCAAGCCTGGATCCTCAGAAGGTACCAAATACCTACTAAGGATCTCCTTTTGTCTCAGTTTTTCATCCTGAATAAGGAATTACAGCATTTCTTTACTTCAAGAAGATTATCAAGGTAAAAAAATTAAAGATTAGGAGTGGGTTGGGTATTTGGCTGTGGGTGGTGGTGGGAGCTTGTCAGCTTTTCAAGCATGTTGCCTTCATTAAATAGCATACATGATTTAAATGCGGGATATAATAAAGCTTAGCTCCTTGATAAACAAAGTGATCAGTTTCTGATAAAGTACTTGGACATTTTTGAAGTAAACTTTCAAGCAATAATTACATGTTAACATGGAACTACCTCCTGTCACTGACTTTGTCAGCCAGCAAGTAGGATTCATCATGGTAGAAGACTTGCTTGTACCTAAAGTAAATTGGCTGGTCCTGCTCTACCCTTCAGAAGCTTTGGCATGCTTAGCAGACACAGTCATCTCCCTCTCCTCACTGTCCAAGCTCTCAAAGCATAAGACAGAAAGTAAGTTTGCTGGAGGACTTCCAGAATGGCTACTCTGAACTGTGAGGGAGTCTGAATGCTGATTCTGTAGCCTAAGTAAAGTAAAAATTATCTAACTTGGTCCCCTCCTTTGTTTTTTTAACTGAAGTCCCTTACAATAGCATTTCCTCTATCGCTTGTGAAATGTAAAGCGCAATTGCTTCTGGCTTGCTTTTTTTGTGAGCTAGTTCAGCTGCACACAGCTGAGCTGAGCTTTGACTAGCACAGCTGTGCTCCTGTAAAACAACAGACAATTATTTTTTTTTTCCGACAAACTGCCAGGGATTCATGAATTCGTTCCTTTTTACTTTCTGCGCTCATGCAGTTAACATTCAATTAAATGGCTTGTTCGGCAGCGGTGATAAGATCTCTAAACCCATGAATCTAAAAGGAAAACTCGAGTTGGAATGTGTATTGCATGTCCTCAGAGTTTGAAATCTATATGCTGCTTATAGCATAGAAGCAGGCTTTCCCAGAACTGTAGTTTTGGGGTTTTTATGCGTGTGTTAACTGAGAGGAATGCCTCACAGTTGTGATTAAAAAGACTTTATCATAGGATTTATGTACGAGTTTACATTGCTACTTTAATTTTTCTAGGATAAATGGGTATATATGACTTTTCCCCTGATCTAAAGTGGTTCCATGTCTTGTTTGGTAAGTTTGTATTTAAAAATTTTTGGCAGTTGTACCTTGTTACCCAGTCATACCCTAATGTCAGAAAGTTCTGGTGAAATGTATTGCTTGAGGGGATTTCCACAGTGCTGAGATGTTTAAACTTTGTTGAATCAACTTTCAGTGAAGGAGACTGCTTAATATCTCTTCTCTCTGCCTCTGTGCTGTTTCTTAACCTCTTGCTTGACTGACTTGTGGCAGAAAGCTTTCTGAACTCCTGTGTATAGGGGCTACTTTTGATGTTTTCCCACTGTCATGTTTAATAAATTGCAGCAGCTCTATTAACACTTACTTGCTTCTCTTCTCAAGGACTGTTCCTGTATTCTACGTACACCAGTTGAATCAATCGGACCGGAAGAGCTATCTCAGAGCAGCATCCATGAATGCCTGGTAAGAAGAAAATAGAAACATTAACTGGCAACGTTAAATACAAAGCTGGTACATACTAAAATTAATCTTGCTAGGGGGTACTTCTTAAAATGTTAACAGCAAAAAAACCCAGAGTACTTCAGGATTCCACTAACGAAGAAGACTACAAGTGACTAGAGTGTTGTTTTTAATCTTGTGACACTTTAAAAACAAAGCAAACACGTGTACACAAAAAACCCCCAGTAGCTCATAAAACTTAAGTTTCAGTGTAATGGTAAAAGCAGCAGGTTGAACGTTCTGACTTGAGTACTTTTTATCTTAGCATCTAAGTTATGATATTTCTGTGTTAATTTTAAACATGCAAATGTTTAAAAATTACTTAGTAATTTTGAGAACTGTTTTTCCTCACCGTTAGGCTGATTCTGATCTAGACTGGATTCCCCCATCTACAGGAAGGAATGAAATTGTATTTTGCTCTTCTAATGTCTCTCACTATGAACTCCAGCTGGAAATAGGTAACAAAAGTGTACCTTACAGTATTTGCTGTTCCTGTGGGTAACTGCGGTAAATATTGCGTTTGGAAAATGTATTATCAGCTGACTAGGACTATTCTTGTGTCTCCTTAGTTGAGAAATTGCAGAACATTGCTCATGTTTCAGTTATCACTTACTTTAAGACAAATCAACAATTACCTGAATTTCTCTCTTGATGTTTCTACACGTGCACATCAGTTTTCTAAATCTGTGGTATGTGGGCAATACAGCATTAAATAACACCATGTCTTGTCATTTGGCTACCTTAGTTGATTGTCCCAAGGTTATGTGAATATACATGCTAAAAGTGTTGTTCATTTAGAGGTATAACAGATCCTGACAAATGTTTAAACACTTTTAGTTGTTCTAAAAATAGCCAAGCCATGCTTTAACTAATTTGCTGGATATATTTTGCTGCAACTATTTAAAGTTCCTGACATTCTTAAAGAAAAGATCGTGCTGCTATGAATCGCAATTTTAGAACTGTAAAATTACATCTAAATATGAAGGAAAGTATGTGGTGGATTATTATATTTTCCAATGTTAAGGTAGCTACTTCTGGTTTCAGGACGGAGGTTCAACAACTTAACTTCAGTCTACCTTGCACGGCACACACCTACAGGCATGCAAGTTGCTGTAAGGATCACAGACCTAGAAAATTGCTCTGAGGAGCACTTGAAAGCCTTACAGGTAAACAACAGCATTTCTGCACAAGTCAGATGAAGATAGAGATGAATACTTATGAGGTTACTAAACAGAGGTAGCCTTTGTGTTTGTCCTGGGTCATTTCAGTCAAGTTTTTGCTTCAAAGGAGTAGAATATAAATACAAGGCATATATAAATTTGAGAGTTGCTTTCTGAAGAAAACAGATGACAAGTGCTTTAGACTTCTGTAACTGTACATCTATTTATTTCAAACATGTTGTGTACTCTGTATTTGACACCAAAATTTTGGATTATGAGCAAACTAGATTAACTTCAGACAAAAGCAATTTTGGGCAAGTTATTTACATTTCTATTGCAGGCCATACATGTCACCTGCAACTTTGTATAAATGTATGCAGGGAACAGTTCTTTCTACTGATTACTGATCTAGCTAATGCTCTTAGTACGACTGTTGTCTTGTGGTTAACACATTCACTTTCATTTAATTCCATAGAATGAGGTGGTTTTATCCCACTTTTTCCAGCATCCCAATGTAATGACGCTTTGGACAGTGTTTACAGCTGGTAGTTGGCTTTGGGTCATCTCCCCGTTCATGGCCTATGGTAAGAACTGTTAACTGCAGTCTTGGAATAGGAAGAAGGGCTAATACAGTTTGGACCACATGGTCCATGAGAGGTTTTTCTTTAAGCTTCTCCTGTCTTGAATTAAAAAAAAAAAACAAAACAAAACACATTGTCAAACAACTTGTTTAGAGTGGTCTTCTGTACATAATCTTCCTCCCCAGTAAAGATTTGTATTCTAACTGCATTGAATTGCCCTTAGTCCTAACACCCACCATGTGAAGAAAGATAATTGGGAGATGTATTTGACTTCGTACAATTTTGAATTTTGCCAACAGAAAACTGGTCTGGATTGAATCCAGGTTTGGCACAGACTTTCAGTTAACATGAGCATGACTTGAGCATTGCATCCATGCAACTGTTCTTGATGCACCATAGTCAATATGGAGATGAGAATGCTGCTCTTGATGAATGTACACAGTGAAGCAAGCATAGACAAGTAGTCTAACAAGGCTTCTTCAGCTTATCTACTGGTTATTTTTTCACTTTCAGGTTCAGCTAGACACTTGCTGAATACTTACTTTCCTGAAGGAATGAGTGAAGCTTTGATAGGGAACATTCTATTTGGTGCAATCAGAGGATTAAATTACATGCACCAGAATGGCTACATTCACAGGTAGGAGAATGTCAATAGGTAAGAATCAGATTACAGCATCCAGTTTATTAAGAATTTAGTTTCATTTCAAAACTCATTTTCAGCTTAAGTGTTGTCTCCTTCCTTTTTATGTATACCTTCTTATGTGGGACAGTGCAGAAGCAATTTTTTTCAATAGCACAGCAGAACCAAGTTTGTAGAAGCTTAATAAGAATAGTATCACATATTATTTAAAGCTTTGTCTCTTTGAAGCAGAAGAGAACAGGATTTGTAGCAAGAGCTTCCCTACTTTACATGCTTTGCAGGGAAGAAGGGCCCTTCTCCACTTTCTATTTCTGGCAGTTTTTTCTTGCTGACCAGCTCTCCTTTCCTTCGGCGCTCTATTAAAAAGACAACTCATACTGAGTGAAGAGTTTCCATGAAAATAATCTGCTAAATAGAATGCCATGCTAACATCTCAGTATAAGTTAATGAAACATGAAAGCCTTACTGCTCTAGTAGTGCTTTGAGTAATTCTTATAACTAAAATTTACCACTTTATATTACAGGAATATTAAAGCTAGCCACATTCTGATTTCAGGGGATGGGCTGGTTTCTCTCTCTGGCTTAAACAACCTCTACAGTTTAGTTAACAATGGACAAAAGTCAAAGGTGGTATATGATTTCCCCCAGTTTAGTACATCTGTGCTTCCTTGGCTGAGTCCTGAACTACTGAGGCAGGTTAGTATAAATTACACTTAACTTTTTCCTATTCAAAGTTACTGGAAGTACTCAATGTCTAACTTAAGTCTGCTTGTAGAAGTGCAATGGAAGCTGTTGAACTGCAACTTTTAAAAAAATGTAGATGTACTGAATTTGTAATTTTCCTGACAAGAACTGGTTTTAAAGCTGTTAGTAAGGTGGTGCTGTACTAAGCCTCTTTACCTGACCTTTCTGAAAACTACTGCAGATCCTAAAACGCATCTTCAGTACAACCACCTGATTTATGAATAAAGCCTGAGGTTTCACAATTTAATTGCCTCAATCCTGTGTAGATTATAGGGTATTGGAATCTGATCCTGAAACAGACACTTATATTTTTGTCGGCACTGCTTAATGACATCGGTGATCCAGTAGAGTTTTCTTTCTCTCACAGGATTTGTCTGGGTATAACATGAAGTCTGACATTTATAGTGTTGGAATTACAGCATGTGAATTAGCCAATGGATATGTTCCTTTTCAAGATATGCCTCGCACTCAGGTATGATGCTAAACTCTATTTCTACTTCAAAACTCTGACCTCTTTTTTTTTTTTTTTTTTGGCACTCAAGAGAAACTGATGCTATTATTGTTGAAATGGTGGCTGCTTTTTGTTATTTCAAATGTGCATGCTTCTTTCCAGATTAAATAATCCTTCCATTCCTGGAGTTTCACAGCTTAGCCTGGATAGCTGTTGAATTCTTACACTGCTGTTCCTTTCTACTAGATGCTGCTGCAAAAGCTGAAAGGTCCCACATATTGTCCTTGGGATATAAATACCTTCCCCCGTGGGGAATCCAGGATGAAGAATTCCCGATCAGGTGTTGATTCTGGAATTGGTGAGAGCATGACACGCACAATGACCAGTGAAAGACTACAAATTCCCTTTTCCAAAACATTTTCACCTGCTTTCTACAACTTGGTAGAACTTTGCTTGCAACAGGACCCTGAGAAAAGGTAACCTTCTGGTGAAAACTAATTCTGTCACTTCGACCTAAGAGCAAGTATAACCCACAATTTAGGATACAGTAATTAGTTGAATACTGTTAAAGTCAGAATTTCAGACCAGAAGTACTATGCAAAACATTACACTTACCTTTGGTTTTGTAATTTAAGAATTATCTTGTCTGATAAAGGAACGGTCGTTTGAACCCCTGGGCCTGAATTTCTTGTAATACCAATGTATTTTGTAACAAGTAAAATTATTTTTTAAACATGCATGTTGTCCAAGAAAAAACAGAAATCTGAAGTATATTGTTTTGGTACTATGTCTCTTCTGAATGAGGCATTAAATCCCTTGTTAAACAGAAAAGTGAAAAAGCCTTTAAGAACAAACAGGTATCTTTAGAAGTGCCTTCACTACAAATTGAATGTAGGAATTGTGTGCTGCTTTTTCTCATGCTTCACATTTGTCCTGTGAAAAACCACAGGGCTTAAATTGATTTGTCAGTCTAGCCCACTTTCCAAAAGCATAATTATATTCTTCATTTTACAATCCAGGCCATCAGCAAGGAGTTTGCTTTCGCATACATTCTTCAAACAGGTGAGTTTACTACATTTTGTTAAATGACACAGCTATAACCTAAGTAAGCCACAAAATATTACTTTGTAATCCCACTCCAGTTAAGTTAGCTGGAGCCAAACCTATCATTTAACAGCTTACCCACTTAAGACTGTTTTGGTTTTTTAACAAATTTGTATTGATAGAGTATGGGAAGCATAAGAGGAATCCATTTCTCCTTGGATAAAGTTGGTTTAACTTAAGTCAGCCTAAGAAGAATCAATATTCTTAATTTAAAGCACAACTGCATAGCTAAGGTGATTAGTTGTGAAAGACTAATTCAATTTACTCTAGAGTGAGAAAACCTAAACCCCTCATCCTGTTATTCTCCATATTGTAACATTCAAGAACATGGCTTTGATTTCACATGTTTTTAATGAAGTCAGATGCAAGGTTATATAAACTTTATATTTAACTTTTCTTCTTTCTAGATAAAAGAACAAACACAGAATTCACTACTGTCTCTATTACCACCACCTATTCAAAATAACAGATCAGAGTTCTTGGCAGTGCCCTCAACAACAGTTGGGACTAAACCTGGACATATTACTGCAAATCAAGGTGATACGGACTGGGAATTCTAATAAATACCAAACAATCATACCTCTCCTATGCTTCAAAGAAGGAAAATGTGATTTGTATTTGCTGCTTTAGTTTGTATGGTTAAAATACAATTAGACAAGGTATACTTGAAAAGGCCATTGAAGTGGCTGTATTTCATTAACTACTTCCTCTGTTGGCATCATGAAGCGCACCGTGCCTCACTTTCTGACCATGAGGAAAACTATATAGAGAGTGGCTGAATTCTCATCTCCCTCTTTAAAAATATTTCTTAACAGGAGTGTTCCTGCTGTAATCTTACTCCATACTGTATTTTCAGCTCATATTGCTGCAATCCCCGTGCCTTTCTGAATTCAGGCTTGGGTTTTGTCTGTGCCCTTACTTTAACGATCTATTTGTTCATTATCATACACATTATTTTAGTCAGGAGGAATTCTCCACCTCCAAGTCTAAATTTGAAACTGCACAAATTAGTTGCTTATGCAATAAATGTTTCTCTTTTCACACATCCCAAAATATTTTTTCACTTTATGGCCTGTCATACTTGCAAAAAATCAGCTATGCATCAGCTTTCATGCAGTTTTAGTACTGCATGTTTCCCAAAGAAGCGAAGCTGTTTGAAACTGTGACTCATGCTCTTGCATTTGTCTATATTCTCAGTACAGATTTGTGCTTTTGCATCTCCATTTATTGTTGTGTCATTTTACCAATTAACCTAAGGACCTCTTACTGTGCAAAGTAAGACTCAATTTATAACAGGTACGGGTTACTTTTGAAGAATCATACTACATAATCTAAAGTTACTGTATATATTTTTATTTATGCTGTATTCCTGTTCACCACTAGAACTTACCAGAACCTAATACTGTTTTCTTAAAAGAACAGGCAATATGCATTAAGCATCACTGCCACTGCTGCTGGCAAACAAGCCTCTTCTGCAAGCCGCAGTTAAATTCCCATGGATAGATTCAGCCATAAGAAGAACCTGAGATCCTAGTGAATTTATCTGTTTTAAGTCAGATGAAAAACTGCCTTTCTTCTCCTTATGATTCTCTGAACAAAAGTTGTTTCTTTTAAAAAAGCTGCGTCTTCTTAATCTGTTTTAACAAACATTGTGTCCCAAAGCCACTAGCGCTTGACTGATGTAAGTTCTAAATGTAGTAAAAGTGTATAAATAGGTATCAAATGCATTTAAATTTTTAACATAAACATTCCACATTAATTACTTCAAGTCTTTCATAGCTGAGTCAGTCTCCAACCGACTCTGAGAATACCACTGGTTTGCCAGCAGCTTCACTACAAAGCCTTGAAGACTTAATGACCAAAACACAAGCCTGAGGCAGACATAAGATTCTAAACAACCATATTAAAGTATTAACAAAACAGTTGATTCTACTTGTTATGCTGTGAAGAGAGCTCTATATTTCAAAACCTAATACATGAAATTTAAGATTAAAAACCTTTCAATAAACTTACCTTATCTGTCTCCATTTATTTCTTTAATTCTTGTACTTCTATTTTCACCATAGTCCAGTCATGCTAACAGCATCTTGTTACTGCAGGAAAGTTTCACATTTATGTCAGTCATTAGGTAAGAAAATATTTGTCTAAACTAGCAAATTGGCATAAAAATATTAATAACTTAATTATGCACTCTTAGGGAAGATACTATTTTCACATGAACCCCAAGTTCTTCATTCCTGTCCACTATACCTTTTCACGTGAAATACATTATCTAGCATCTACAAGTAACTAGACTAACAGTACATGTAAAAGCAAGTCTAATAATTGAGAACACACATGAAGCTGTACATACTAATAAACATCGAATAAGCATTAATAGTCTATTTAAAAAAAAAACACCACCAAACTGCCTAAAACAATTTAAGCAGTTTAACTGCTAGTATTTGCAAGCTTCTCTTGAATCAACAATGGCTTGCACTCTCTCTATAAAAATCAACCTGGATGCTAATAACAAAGTCAGTATAAATTGATTTAAACAACCATGTAGTCCAGTGGAATTACTTTGCTGCTGTCTCTTTCTGTAGAAAAAATAAAAATTACTTATTTCTAAATATTGGTCCAGTTTCTGTACTGACATAATTTAAGAAAATGTAATACAGTTTTCTAAGTTTAAAAGCTCATGAGTCTTTACTGTTAGAACTATTGCTTTTCAATAACTACAGTATTTTCAAATAAAAGCAATTAAGAGGCACTGTGACTTCTAGTAATTTTTAACATAACCATAAATACTTTAAACTAGTCCCTGGATTACATGTGCTGAAAGGTTTGCTGAAGGTTTGCTTAAGAACTGTCACAGTTTCTATTAAGGAATAATGCAAAATAAGAAATACCACTTAAGACCAAAAAAACCTGTATAATCATTGTATTGTTAATGAGGTTTCAAGTACCTGTCACTGAAAAAAAGTTCTTAGAAAGAACTGTGTTCCACTGTAAATCTGAATTTTTTGCATCCGCTTAAATCTTTTCAAAATCTGAGTCATGAACTGTATTGTTAAGATAAGTTGCAGAGTCTTTCTTTTACAAGCTTTCATAGTTCTAAGCACAATAATTTTTCTTTTTTATTTTAGAGCACATGCTTGTGCACCTTTACACATACCAATGATGTGTGTTATCATCATATGACCTCAAACTGAACTTGGACTTAAAAATTTCAAGGATCTTACATTTAGGCTCAACATGGGGCTTAGAAAACTTCTATACATTTGCAAAATCTTCTCGTGGCCACTGAAACAGGAATTTATAGCTTGGTTACTTTTGCAATACTTACTTGTGGAAACAGCACAAGGGTGGGTTTTTTGCTGCCACCTTTCTTTGTGCTAGCATTTAACACTACATAAAATAATGAAATATCTTTAACAATAGAAAACTTAGGTTAACTAACATTATCCTGAATCTATGCTCAATGCTGTTGAGATTCTTACTGTCTTGGTCTGATACCACAGCAGTTTGTGAATGACTGAATGGATCAACACAGGAAAAAGTGTGATTTACTTAGAATCAACTCAATCTACTATATGAACTACTCACTTTAAAGAGTCTCAATGCTATAAACATCCACTGAAGAAACGATGATTTCTTCCACTTGATGCTATTAAGGAACAAAAGTAAGTATTAGAAAAAATATTACCAAGTTTTACCTTACTTCTCTTTTCCCCACCTCCTCCTTCTGAAGTGCTATGAAAACAGGTTTTAGCCTAGAAGATGGGTGAAACCATGGGAAAACATTCTAAAATCATTGCTCTGAGAAAGGTATCTAACTAGGTGACTTACGTATCCCGTCTTTAATGCTAGTAAGTAGCTTTGCTAAAGTAAATCAGGTTGTCTAATAAACCTTTAAAACAACTAAGCTAGCTGTAATGACCTCTCCTGATAATGGTCCTCTATGAGCAAGAACTATACTATGAAATAGTTATTTGATGTAACAGACCAGTAAAGACCTAAGGAGTCAAAAAAGAAACACTGAAAAAACGGAGCTGGTCTACTAATAACCAGCCAGCAGAATAACATTTGGTATTAATATAATTAAACCTATCCAGAAACGTGAGACAGGATGAAGGAATATTAGGTTTAAACAGGTTCCTGTGGAAACCTCCACCATTCCCAAATGAAAACAACTGATTCTATTCCATAAATTAGTTACATACAATGATCGTGTGCAGGAACAGATGGGCAATTTTCTCCATTTTGACTGGGTTCCCTGTTTCGATTGCAGCTCCTAGACTGGCGTGCATTGGCTGCTGCTACAGAAGAAAGGTGGATGGAAGAGGCAGAGGAATCCAGCTCTGGTCCCATTAAGAAAGAAGCCTTTTCATCCCCAGATGAGGCAGGGTAGGAAACTAGTCTATTAAGCAGGCAAGCTTCCCTCCCACAGGACATCAGCCTGCAACGACACCCAGTAAGACAGAAAGACCGTGCCCAGGCACAGCCGTGCGAGATAAAGCGTCCTCCTCCTCCCGGCCCCGTTACGGCTCCGGGGGCTGACGGGCCCAGCCCGCTCATCGCCCCGGCTCCAGCTCTCCCAGGCCGCCGCCTGCGCCTCGAAGGCCAACGTGCCGCCTTGTGCTCGCCAACCACCTGCTTGAGGCGGAGGGACTGCAGCGACGGCCGCCCGGGGCGCAGGAAGGCGAAAGCGGCGGGGTCTTTGGGCGCACGCGGGAGGCCCCGCCGTCTCCCTCAGGCCGGGTCTGACAGGGCGGCCCCGCCCTCACCCCCAGCGGCCGTTACGCGCTCGCGCGCGGGGGGTCCCCAGCAAGGCAAAGGCGGCGGGGCCGCCCGCGCGCACCCAAAGACCCCGCCGCTTCCCTCAGGCCGCGTCTGTCAGGACGGCCCCACCCTCAGCGGCCGTCACGCGCTCGCGCGCGGGGGGCCCCCGGCCCGGCCGGCAGGGTCTTTGCACGCGGGAAGCCCCGCCGTCTCCCTCAGGCCGGGTCTGTCAGGACGACCCCACCCTCAGCGGCCGTCACGCGCTCGCGCGCGGGGGGCCCCCGGCCCGGCCGGCAGGGTCTTTGCACGCGGGAAGCCCCGCCGTCTCCCTCAGGCCGGGTCTGTCAGGACGACCCCACCCTCAGCGGCCGTCACGCGCTCGCGCGCGGGGAGCCCCCTGCCGGCGCGGCGCGAGCGGGCGGCGGGCAACGGCTCCGCGCTGAGGTGAAGAGACTTGTGGTACGAAATGGTCCGGCTTGATCGGTTAATTAACGGACCGGGGAGGAGACACACAGCTTGTCCCCGACAGCTGGGTAATCAGGGTAAAAAAACATCCCCAACAGTACCTGTCCGAGAAGCGGCAGCCGGTGGGTTTCATGCGGCCGGGCAACGGGCCTCGCCCCGCTGGGAGGTCTCCTCCGGGCCCCCCCCTGAAGAGAGCCAGCAGCCCCGGGGGCACAGAACACTCCTACCATCCAGGGGGAAAAAAGAAAAAAAAAAAGAAAAAGATACTTTCTCTAAATGCCTGTGGACTTGCAGACCAGTTTCAAGCACAGCTGCACTCAGGAATGCAACTTCCACAGCACTATGAGGAAAAAGGAAGAGAAAGGTAAGGCTTAGCAATAAATACATACTTGATGATTTACTCTATTCTCCCACAGCCTTCAGTCATTTAAGTTAATTCTGCTGCAAATATGCAAGTGAATAATTCTAACCTAACCATAACCCTCCTGAAGTTTTACCTCAGAAATACCAAAGAATCTTTCCAAATTAATGCCACCTGGCTTCACATTGAGAAAGCTGAGTTGAGAGAGTACCATTAAAAAAAAAAACAACAACTGGAATTTAACCAAACTTTAAATAACTGCCTTTTAAGATGCAAAATAAGAGAAGTTAAGCTTAGAAGGGGCTCTGGAGGCCCCTTTGGGTCCAACCCCCACTCAGGCTGCACAGGGCTCTGTCCACCCAAGCCGGGAGCAGCCCCAAGGATGGAGCTCCCACAGGCAGCCCCTATGGGCCGCCCCAAGCCTGTCCCAAATCCTCACTGTCAAAACTCCTGTGGTAGCCAATAGTAATTTTCCTGAGGCAGCCTGCAACCATTTCCACTCATCCTTCCACTGTGCAGCTTGAGAGTCTGACTCTTGTCTTCTTTGTAATCACGTATTTGGTGGTTAAAGAGAGCAATCAGATTCCCCTCTTAATATTCATCTTTTCAGGCTAAACAAACCGCATTAACTGATGAAATACATTTTACTTGCTAGTTTTCAGTTACAGTACCATTTCTGATTGTGCAAAAGACCACAGCATCAGGAATCTGATGGAGAGAAAGCAAAGCCATTATTTTAAATGCTACCACAAATAAAGAAAAAATGCTTTCCCATAATCACCTGTTCAGAGCCTGTATATTATACATAACATTAGCACTGAGGAAAAAGTTAGCCAGACTGATTTATTGTAAACAGACTAATCATTTGGAAACAGGACAAAGTAGCACAATAATTTCTAACTAGTTTAGAGCAGTTGTTTGTTTCACATACATAAAAACAAGAAATTGGCACTAACATCTTTGTAAATTTTTCATTAACACAAAATTCTGCATTAAAAACAGTGGTATGGAAATGCACAAAGGCATTTCAGTTAAGGCTTCTACAGATATTGCATTTTCTGTAATTAAACATCTATTTTGTAAACTTGTTCTAAAACTTTCCAAGTAAATAAACAAAAAAGCTCAGTTAAACTCATATTCCATTGTGAGGCTTAATGGAATGGAAAGTACTTTGTAAAACAGAGAGTTAGTCATCAAGTTAAGTGTGATTTTAAATGGCAACCTCAAACCTCATTAATTTAAATATGCATATATTCAGTCCCTCCCAAAAAGATACACTGGAAAGGCAAACCTGGTTTGAAATATCGATGCCATTAAGTTCATTAACTTAATCCCTGCTCAGCCATCTAAACAAACTACTGTATTTCACAGTAAGAATGAGTCTGACTCTTGGCTACCATCACTTTGTCCAAGGGATACTTGGAAGGCCAATTTCTAGCAATAATGTCAGAAATCAAGCAAAGATGTTATTCAAGTTTTTCCTGTACTGATTTGATGCCTTAGCACAGTTTTGCCTGAGCTCTGTTCTTTAGGGGTAAAATTTCAGTTCTTACCATGCCAAGGTGCCAGAAATGTCAAGCAGCAAAGAGAAGCCATTATTAATCTCATCTTCAGGAGCTCAACAATTCTGTAAATCAAATACACCGCATCTGGAGAAAGTGTGGTGGCAACCTACATTGTATCACTTAAGTAGTGTATATTCCACCGTCTCCTACAGCCAAATGATAACAAGAGCCTCCAGTGCAACACTGAAGGGGAACACCACCCTGAATCTCTCCATTTTAATGCACAGTGCCAGCCATAATTTAGCTCCACAGTTTTGCAAGAATACATATAAAAGAGCCATAACAATTTACAAACAAAGGCTAACATCTCCTTCCCACGACAAAAGTGAATGCCCCAGAATGCAGCCAACAGCTGTGGAACATCTTTCAATTCTGGTAGAACTTTTTTTTCCCCTTCAAGATTACCACAGCATTTTAAAATGCCATGAACACTGAATTTTTGAATTACTTAAATTTGCTGGGTGGGCATAACAAAACTCAAGTCATCAACAGAGCAGCAGCAGCCCTGGTTATTCATGTTCCTATCCTTGTTTTAAAACAACTTGGGTAACTAGAATTGAAAGTTACTGGCTCTTTAACATCCCTCTTCAAGTCTTTTATCTGGCTACTCTTCACTACTAGAAAGTACAGTAATTCCCCAGGGAACTTTGACAACTGCACACCCTTTACAACCACACTTAGACACACACGTTAAATAAAACAATCAAAACCAATACATATTAAATAACGTGCACAAATAGGCTTGGGGCTTTAGGTGATACTGTCTTGAGAAATGGATTTCAAACTAGCTTTTTATATGTCTACTAAGGAGATTGTTTCATCCTGCAATACATCTGTATTTATACACATCAGCAATGCTTTCATTTTGCCACTTTAATATTAAAGAAAAAGAATGTTGGCTATCATCATCAAACCCCACCAAGCACCACTATTACTCCTACGTCAGTACATAGAAGGTGGGTTGCTGCAGAGTTTTTGGTTTGCTTTAGGAAGCATTTTCTTGCAATTTTAGTAAGAAGTTTCCCATTCTATCCTAACACAACAAACATCCTTTTGAAGGAAAACAATCTCCATCAAGAAAGACTCCATCCAAGAAGTAAGAATATTTTTAACATGTCTGAAATCTAAGTTTCTTTAGAAAGAGCAGGAAATAATACTCTTGCCATACAAGATAAGGAGAAACTGCACTACCACTCCTCTGAATGGCTTTGTAATAGTTATGCACCCTGACTGTTGAGAAATTACAGGCTGTACATAGATCGTATTGGCAACCCAAAAACAATCTGCTTGATTAAAAGATGTATTTAGGTATTCATTAGCTGACCAAGTTGTTGCAACATTAAAACTTTTGTTTCTTGTATCTATGTCAACTTGAAAGAACTTGTTATTATGAAACTCTTTGTCAAGAGAACTAAATGAAGAAAAATAAAGTGTTCTCTTTTAAGGAACTATAAAAAAAAACCCCTGACAATCCAATCCCTTATTCTAGCAAATACTTTATATGACAACTAAACCCAAATTATTTTATGCTTACTAACATTGTGTTTTTTACATTTACTGTTTTGTTATAACCTTCCTTAGACTACTTTCTTCGTAAGATTTGTTTTAATCTCTAGAGAATATTTAGCAAAATCAGGTAAGCCAACTGCTATCACCATTAGTAACAAAAGCAGGTTGTTGAAAACTGTACAGCAGTCAAAAAAGCAGTGAATACCTGATCTTCTGCATCCATCTAATTTCTTTGGCTATAGAGGTAGCAATATTTACAATATCACAATGACTTTATGCTCTAGAGATAATCTACTTTCCAAAATAAAAAGCAAAAGTATAAAAGTTTTCAATAACATTTGGAAATTGTAGCATACATAAAAAGATCAAAATCAAATATATACAATATAAAAATACACTTTTTTCTTTATGAAAGTTATAATACATGGCTATAATACACATCATGTTGAGCCATCAGTCACAGCTACAGTATTTGCAGATGCTTGGTTCCACACTACGGCTGGACTCTGGGTATGATATCTCCCTGAGGAAATTCCTCAATTTCAGCATGAAACATCAGTTCTAAAAGAGAAAGAAAATAATTATGTTTTCTTTTAAAAGTTTTGCCTGAGTAAGATTTCATTATTCCTGAAAAGTGTTCTGGCATTCCCCCAAGCCTTCTGCTTTTCTTCCCAATCATAATACCAACTACTTGGCAATGGCAAAAAACTATTGTTGCCCCCCAAGAATTATTAGAATTAGCAATGATGTTAGCAGCTGGTCATATGCAGTATCATCCTGCATTCAACCTGGACGCTGAAACAGAACCCTAAAAGAGATTGAGGGATTGTTAAAGTTTTGAGAATGTCAGACTCAAGAGGGAATATTTCTGTTTAGAGATTTGTTCATTTATGGATAAACTGCTTCATGTATCACAGTGTAAGTTAGCAACACTAGAACCTGGGACAGAAAGAACAGTGAGCAATATGCTAGCTATCACCACAGCGGCTTAGGTATGGGAGACGTTCTAAGGTCAGCAGTGAAGAGCTCCCTGTGGAGAAATTCAGCTAGGAATGCTAAGCAGTTGAAGAGGTAGCTCTTGTGGAGCTCTGTGCTGCTGAGGGTAGAGTTTTCTCATTTCTGGGTTCCCTTATGTATCTATACTGCACCTCAGTATAGATGAACTTTCTGTCTTGCTGACACACGTTCAAGCATATAGACCAGGCTGTCATTCCAAATGACTTGTCAACATGATAAAGTTACAACAATGTGGTTTATCCACTCAAGTTTGAGATTCACATGTTTTTGCTGCCTCAGCAGACTTTCTTTACTATTTGGAATAAGTCCTAATGGAATTTCTCTTTGAAATTTCTGAAGCAGGTTTTCTAATCTTAGTAGCCACAAAATTTCTCAGGACTAGTCTTGAACACCAAACACTGAGCACAGCAGATAAAAGCCTGAACAAACAACATTTTACGTATTAATATTTCCTACCTTCACTGTGGTCTAGCTCTGGTCGGTAAGACAAGAAGATCCAACTTGCCCCAACTAGAATAGACACTACCAGGTTCACTACAATCCACGGCTGAACAATTTCTTCCTCTGTACCTGCCATCCTGGGAAAAGCACATCAACCAATCAGTGAGGGGTTCAGTGGTACATACTACATATGTATTACAATAATAATTTTAATAGAGTATCATAAAAACAAGCTTGGTAAACAAAATGTGAAAACAGAACTACTTGTACTGTCCTTCAGGTCTTGCATTGCAAAGGCCCTGGTAAAGCAAGGGACTACCAAAGACAGTGTCTCAGCTAAGAAACCCCATTATCTTATAAAGAATGTCCACTTGCATATTTCAACAGCAAATTCCTTTTCTTGGCCAAGGGACATAAAATAAAAATCAAAATGCATGGTCAAATTTTACTGTGGTGAAATATACTGCACAATGTCATCAGTCAATCTTATTTTTAAGCACTTCCTCATAAGGCAGAAAGGCAAGTGAACAGCAAGTCAGTAAATCTGTCTGGAAGCCAGTGCAAGGACGTGTGTGCAGATGCTGTGGGGTGGACGACAGGGCTTTAAGAGGTTATGACACTTTTCTTACTGCCGTAACAGCAGCAGGTTGTGGTTTTGTTCCTAGAATGTAGGCTTTTTGATAAACAGTTCAACAAACATTTGTAGAAGCCCTAAAAATACACATATATATGTATGTATCTAACTGCCCAAACCAGCAAATTTTCATGTAAATGCTTTTGTTCTACTTCTCCTGGTCCATTAAGTATCTACTTCAGAAAGTAACAGTTCTGGCTGGGATCTCCCAGCATGAAACAATGCTTCATATTTAATGCTAGCTAATCCCTTGCATCCTGTGTCAGACATACCACTTACTTCACAATACTATGACATTCACTTCTTGGACAGATTAGACCATCTCCTTCAAAAAAAGCATTTAACCTCTACAGAATGTCCTGCCCTTAAACACAAAAGTGTTACCTCAGTAGGGTCCCATTTCTCCAGCAAGAGATCTTTAAGGTTCCTGCCAGACATTTTCAGCATCATTCCAACAGGGTCTTGTTTGAGGTATAATGGATTTGTGACCAACATGACCAAACCCATCCTTGAGTTCTCATTTTTCAGTGAAATTATCAAAGATTCAGGACAAGCTCAAAGGCAGGTTTAATAATGAAATCCTTCATTAATACTTTCTTATGTATGCTGTATAACCTTTTCAATCCACCAGTTTGACTAAGGTTCCTAGGTGGGCTATGTTATAATTTACAAAAGTGATTTCTTAAGTTTCCTACCAGATGCTGCCATTTTCTGAAGGTGGTGTGTAGAGATTAATTCTGTCACATGTCATCTGCTGGCTTAAGGATAAGATAAGAGCAGCAAAGTACACTGGAAGAAATGGAATTAGTAGTGTCAGATATAAAGCCCAAAAATGCTGTCTCATCACTACATGATAATTATCACTACTTTTCTTTCCTTTCATTCCACTGCCTCCAATGATAGTCTCCTTTAATTCACTCTCTCTTCTTCAACATTCCCCTGACCCATCAAAATCCTGTTTCTGCACTTTTGCAATTGATCAGCTATATCAAGGGTGGCATCTTGTGATTCTGCTTTTCGCTAGGTCTGTGTTCTGTGTTCAGAAGTGTGAAAAGAACTATCTCACTAACAGCCCCACTAATGCTATTATTGCAAATGCTTTAAAAAATATGTAGCAAAGCATTCATAGCCTTTGAACGCTATTTTCACCTACTTACCAAGTCACTTATTTTGAAGCAGAAAATAACCAGGGAGGAAGACTTCACTGAAAACAGTATGTAGGATTTCTCCATTTACTGTCTTTTCTGGACAACTTCCTATCCCCTTCAGAATACTTACAGAAAGAGGATACTGCTGCTGGGTCTAGGGTAAGAAAGCCCCTCAGTGCAACTGATGCTTTCGCCAAATCAATCCTGATTACAAAAAACAAGAGTCATGAACACAGCCCAATAAGAGAATAATATTGTTCCTCTAACAGTATTCGATTGTGCTTTTTGTTTTTCCAAGATACCTTTTCCTGATTCTATTACAGTGCCTTAATGCACAACTATATTCCACACACAGGCAATTATCCTCATTATGCCAAATCCAAGAAAGATCCAAACTAAGCAGGATGTTCCATGTGGTTTGTACCTTTCACACTGCAGTCCTTTCTGGAAAAGGGAGAATGTGGATAGATCTGTCCTCTGTCTCATCTTTACCATTAATTTCAATGTCCACACCACCAACCAAGTTATGGTTGGTGGTATGGTAATGTAACTGCTCACACAGCTTACACTAATATGGGAGCAATTGAGAATAACTTGGGCCTCCTCCCTGCCACCACTTAACGAAAAACAAAGTCACAATTTCTTCCACAGAACAGACTTCTCCCCTGGCTTACCGTTCTGCCATGGAAACTACCTGTTACTATAAGAAACATCTATGAGTCTACTCCGTTTATATTTTTGTTCCTTTTTCTGCTCATTCACACTCTTAAGCAGTAATACAGAAACCCCAGCTAAGACAGAAAACTGTTTGCACAGCCATGTTGCAAACCTGACTGGGAAATTGATTCACATGAAAAGTAACCTGACAGAAACATCAGTTGTTCTCCACCACCCCTCTCACCCGCAAAAAAACGGGCTATTTCTCCTATCTGATTCACCTCATGGTCACACAAACAGGACCAGCACACTGAAGCAAGGCTGCAGACAATGGACAGAAATGTGTAACAAAGGTCTGAATGCACAAGTACACTCTATCCATGATGTAAAATCATTCTGTTAAGTTTATCACATTAAGTCATCAACAGCAGATCAAAATGTGCCAGAGGAAGGAGAGTGGAACATACTGCACACAAGTTATGTATGCCTTTCAAATATAAACATATTTTACCTGTCAAAGGCTGAGACTGTACTGATAGACAGCAACAAATAGAACAAACTTTGAGCTGGGTATGCTAGTGTCTTATACTGTTGGAGCAGGTTAGAAACTGTGGAAAGTTGATTTCCTGCCAAAATGTAGATAACAATGATGTTCCATACTGCATACCCAGCAAGGAAGCCATGGGTAAAGAGTCCGATAACCCTGAATGAAGAAAAGAACATTAGACAAGTTTAACACCTTGAATTAGCGAAGAAGTACAGGTAGAAAAGGTCTATAAATCCATCTGTTCAACCCTGCTGCTGTGACAGGGTCACAGCCTTTCACAGATTACTTCTGAATGCTTTTTCTGATCTAGTTCTGAAAATTCTAAGCAACAGGACTTCTACTTCCTCTCTTGACAGATTGCACCTATACCTGAGCACTCAACAAAGAAAACTAAGATGTTTTACCTGGTCCTATCACTACTTCCCTTCATTACTGCTACCAGAATCAAATACTTTCACTTGTTGCATTCTCCCATTTTGCCTGTAGCTTCCCAAGACCACTGCCCCTTATGCTTATACAATGCTCTTAAACTTGTCCTTGAGTCAGTCTTTTCATTTTCTTCATTGCTAAGAAAAGGCTGAGAAGGAAGCTCAAGCTTCAAGATAAAATACACCAGAGAAGAAAATGCCTGTCATCTTCCTATTTTGTATCACAACATGTTAAAATAATTTTTTGCTATTTTGTGCAAGCTTATGCCTCAGTCCAATTTCACACCTCCCTCCTTTTCACCAACCAGGATTTTCCTTTGAGAATTATCTGAATTTGGGTATTTTCATTCTGGCCATATTATAGCTGATGGGTTAATCTCATTTTTTAAACACATTTTTTCTGTAGGTTTCTAGTATTTTTGCTTTGAGAATTATCTGAATTTGGGTATTTTCATTCTGGCCATATTATAGCTGATGGGTTAATCTCATTTTTTAAACACATTTTTTCTGTAGGTTTCTAGTATTTTTGCTTTGAGAATTATCTGAATTTGGGTATTTTCATTCTGGCCATATTATAGCTGATGGGTTAATCTCATTTTTTAAACACATTTTTTCTGTAGGTTTCTAGTATTTTTGCTATTCAGAATTTGTTTGAATCTTTGCATTATGACTTCCTTAGTTATTCTTTTTATAAGTTGCATTTCACATGTGATGTCTAGACTAGAAATAGATATTCTTGACAACAAATACCAGAAGTTAGAGAACAAAGAAGCTTTATACCTGTTGCATCCTGAACCACCATTTATTAGGAATACCCAAGAGAAAGAAAGAAACATCCCAATGATAGAGAAAAGGTTCCAAGTTTCAGAGAGAAGAAAAGAACCAACACTGACTTCTGTTTATTTACATTAAAACATTTATCTTTCACCTGAAACTTCGGTGCACTGAGAGGGCAACATCTCTGGTAGTCCATGAAGCCTTCACATCCATAAGTACATTGATATTTTCAGTGGTTTTAATCAATTCTGCACGGTCAGCTGCCTGAAAACGCCCTAAGAGGATGAGGAAATTGGTTTTAGAGAATACTGTTACCTTCCTTCATCATTTCTATGGTAATACTTATTAGTGTTAAAAAGCTGTAAGCGTTAAAAGTTCCATCAGAAAATTTTGTCTCCTGCTTCCTTCCCCTTGTCAGCCTACATTCCTATCAGGACGCCTCTGTCAGTGTGATGCACCCTGGTAGGCCAGGCTATGCATTTAAGAATGTGCAAAGCACTTTGGGTAATTACTTGGTGTTCCCCAGTACACAAAAAAAAGGCAAACCAAAAAACTTCCACTTGAAAGATTTTTAGATTTTTTACAATATAGTAAACGATAACTTTCTTCTCACGGTCTTGTGACAGTATTAGGCCAGACAGGCTCAGTTGGGTACTATCAAACAGCCTTTTTCACATACACCACAGAATTCAAAAATTCAAGCAAACATGCCAGTATGGCAACACTAACATTCACTGTTGAAAAAATTATAATGTATATCTATTTCCAAATAATTTTTGTGCTGGAAAACTTCTTTTTTCTTTAATTTTTCTCAATACTGTAGTATGTCCTTAAATTATTTAAATCACAAGATGTACTTACGATTTTTTTCAACAAACACTTTGCTAACAGGCTGGCTAATTCCAGTGGGAGCAGCAAACACAGGCTGCTGATCTGGGCTCTTTCTGTGCTCGTCTTCAATGATGTCTTCCTCCTCCACTTCCAACTCATTGGAACTGTGTGTTTCAGCTGGCCGAGGTCTCCTATCAGCACAGAACATACAAAGGGGCAGAGAAAGAACATGAAGTAAAATGTAAAAGCTGGAGGCTTCTATAAACATTTAACATGTCTAACTTGATTGATAAGAACCAATCAGGCTGCTGACCTGTATAATATTACCTCCATTTATAATTTTAAGTACTAAAGTTCTCAAAGAGTTAGTTAACTAAAGCCATAAAGCTAATCCTTGATTTTGGGGTTTTTCTCTCTAAATTCTTCCTTGTGTCGAAACAATAAAGTGGGAAGAAATACATATAAAGAGATTAACAATTACAAAACAAACAAGCCAACTAAATACAAGGCTGAGTAAATGGATGCTTTTGGTAGAAAGGCACTAAACTATTTAAAGGCCTAGTTCTTGGAGAAAAGGCAATCAAAAAGGATGAGAAAGCAGTTAAGTTTCTCATAAAATTAAGAAAAAGATAGTAAGAATGAAAGCAAGCAGTTACACAGTCTATTTTTTTCATGTATGTGACTGAAATATTAGGCTCATGTAAATGTATGCAGAACTGTAATGCATCCGGGTACACATAAAACGAACGAGTGAAGAAACCTAGATCTTAACCCTGGAAAGAACTGCACGTGTACTATGTACTGCACAGGCTGAATGGTATCATGGGCTTCAAGATTCTACATCTCTGTAATGTGACAATGTAAAACGCTACTCAGCCACATTCTCTATCACAGTTATTCTGAATTATGAGATGAGCTACACTAGTTTTGTCTCACTTTGTTTTTTTTCTCTGTTTGCGGATCACTGTTTCTTCAGCTTCAGGGACATCCATGCCATTTCCATTCTGAAATAAGGATGCAACATTTTGCTGGGTAAAGGAGGTCTCAGAATCTGAAGATTTAAAATAAACCACATGAAAGTTTCACAGCTTTCATAAAAATTAAAATACATTCTCTATAATTTATATAGTTATTATATAAACACAGTGGCAAAAAAGTGATGCTCTTCTAAGCTTTGATTGATACAAAGGATTGAAGGATCTATTTTATCACTTCCAAAACTGTACTGCCATTATTTGCATGAGGATTTGTAACCTATGGAAACTAAATCAGAAACTGCAACTTGAAGCTACCATTCACTCAGAGATTATTTTCAGCTATTTTAAGTACAAAAGCACATGATCTGAAACATTTTAAGTCAAAATACAAGTTGGCCAATCATATTTTTGTGTTACCAAGTTTTATTCAGTGCTCTTTCCAATCTATAGTTATTTCACATACCAGTAGGTATTTTCTTCTTCTTGCGTTTCCTCTGAGGAGGGACATCCTGAGGTTCAGGAGTTAGGGGCTCACTGCTTTCAGACTGCCGACGAACAGCTGCTTGGACGATGCCATCTGAAAACCAGATGAGCAGATACAGCAACCTTAATTCAGAGCTGCTGAGAAGCAGGCAAGAAAAAGCTGCCTTTTGCTACATTGTGCAGAATGTCTGTATTTGTCCAGCTTAAAGCTGAGATGACAATGTATTGGCTAGAAAATATGAGTTGGGAAGCTAATGTGGTAAGAATATACAAGGTGGTAACTATCAACTCTCCTTTAACCCTGACAGTTTAATGCCCAGTAGGAAATTGAAGTATCCAAGCAGCAGCACAATTCCCATTTGGGCATATAACAGAGGACTGACTGAAAGGAATCTACCACAGGAAAGATCTATACTCATGTTTTTCTTTTCTACATGCAAAGATTATAATGCAAGTGACAAGAAAAATTACCAGTTTGTTACAAGTTGATTCACACAGATATGCGCTAAGGCAAAAAAGCACAATATCAAAGGGAAATTTAAATGCTAAACAAACACCACAAGAATAAAGGAGGAGCAGAATAAAACAACACTGAAGGATGTTTACTCCAGTCTGAAAGATGAATTACTATACTTTGGAGGAACTACATTTCCACGAGAAGTTAATATCAATTCCTCAGATATTCTAGCAGCAGTAGCATTGTTTTGCATGAAAGACAAAGATACTTCTCCATTTTATATCACATCTGCCTTTTTATAGCTCTTCCAAGTAATGCAGTTTTTATGATAACTGAATCTTTGTTTTCACTTCAAGCACAGGTTTTCCCACCTTTCAGAAAGGTTTTCTGTGCTAAAATGCATAATTAACCAGCAAAGTAATGCCAAAGCCAAGGTTTACTTTGCACCATCATTCAGCTCTCTGAAAACAACAGTAATCCCTGCCAGCTGTGCTTGTTGCAATTAAAGGTCTTTCAGTGAGCCCTCAATGGTACCCTCTTTTGAGCAAATAAAGGAGGTTTACTCATCAAAGCATCATAGAGTCCCAAGTCAGCTGGTTTACAGAAATCCCCCAGATTCTATCAACACATTGGGCTTTATTAAAAGAGATCAAACTTGTAGTCTTGCTTAAACCGGTATGTTTGTTCTGCAGATTCACTACTTGTAAAAATACAAAGCTCTAGTGTTAGTCATATTTTAGGCTCTTGACTCTTTGATGGCAATAGAATGATTAACTTGTAACTTTATTTGGCCAAGGTCTGAAATTGAGCCAATTTATTAAATGAGTTTTATCTTAGTTCATTCAAAAATGCAAGCACTTAACACATTCAACATAACAATGTTCAGTATCAAGACATGCTGTAATAGCAGTTCCAAGAATGGATCTAGGGAGAGAGAGCACAGAGGAACAAGTTATTTCAGTTAGTGTTACAGACTTGTTCTAAAATTACACCACTTTGGGAAAAAAGATTGCAGTCATTCAACACAAAATCAATTGCAATAAATTAGCAGAGAACACTATTCAAAAATAGAATACAAGACTGAAAAATGTGTATCTGTCAGGAGCTTGGCTACAGCGCAGGTCTCACCCAGGATTACAATCACAGTTTCCAGTCTTGGCAGTACCTTACCTAACGGAGTTTTTCCTTTGGGTTTCCTTTTTTTGGGACGACTGAGTGGAATTTCATCTGCAGAACATAAATCAGAAGTATAGGTGCACAGCATAGAGAAATCTCCATTTATTTTTTTAAAAGCCACTCTATTGCTAGTTAAGGAAGGGATTCATTTTTACAAGTGAAAACATCCTCCACCTTTCACAGATTGGTGACAATTCACCAATTCACACAAGCAGGACACGTACAGAAGATGTCAGGAAAATAGGAAATCTGTCTTAAGTACAACAAAGGCTAAATACGCGCATGCACAAGCATTAATGAAAAACTGAAATGCTCTGAAGAATAAACTTTTTGTTTAAAGCACAGTGACTACTTTTCCATTACCTTTGATACAGAAATAGCAAACAGTAACGAGACCAAGGAAAACCAGCAGACAGTTCTAGCAATAGCAGCACAGGTATCCATACAGTTTAAATAATCAGCCTGCATTTAGCAAAAGCATAAGACCCTAACTTTAAAGAGAGGATGAAGTGACACCAAAAGGAACTACCAATGTTTATAATTCTCTTTAATCCTGGAATAGCTCACCTTGGTTTCCACTTCACATTTAAGGAAAAAAAGGTGTTGAAGAGCAGTGTAAAAGAAAAAGACGAGAAGAAAGTTAGTTTTGAATCAATTACAATTCACAACAGTGAAATTCACTCTGCTGCTTTTGTGATTAATTTCCTTATCCCCATTCCTAGTTCTCTTTATGAGCAGTTGTGTACAACAGGGTTAAGGGTACAAAGCAATCACTGAGACTCAAATCTTTGTTAGTGACTATGCACAGTTTCTTGATTGGCTAGCTGTGGATCCGATTAAAAGCTTTAATCACCTGGCTAATTAAAACTTGTCTTACTGCCTCATATGTAACAAACAAACAAAAGTTATGAAACATCTCAGCACATATAGTACCAAAACCACACTATCATTATGTCATCTATCATGAACATCACATTTGCTTTCAGATAAAGAAATTCAGAAATACAATGTCATAAAAACTATGTAATTGCCTTTCCTTCCACACTGCTCACTAGGGCACTGAAAATAAGCCTAAATTTTGCCCTATATTACATCAAACTGGTACGCTGCTATACTCCTATTCAAGAATATCTAGTCTGATTTCAGGAATTCCTGTTCTGAAGGATCTGTGATTCAAATACATTAAAGAACAGGAAACAAAATAGAGAAGAAAGAAGAGACTGAAAAGAGGGGCTTCCATAAAACTAAAGTAGATGTTACTAAAACCGAAGTAGCTATTTGTCTGAAACTTTTTAAAGGCTTTATCTCTCAGAGTATTAAAAGTGAGGTAATGTAGTAAAATTTCTTGGCCTCTGTAAAAGTTTAAAAAGACTTGGCATTCCTTGTAAGGGGTTCAGGGGCAACAAATTAGCAAGAAAAGCAAGCATTTTTAAAGCTGTTATGACTACTCCGATGTTTATTAATTTTTTTTTTTATCTCAATTTCATTACTTTTAAGACCACTGCAGTACAGAACCACGATCGATTCCATGGAATGAACTGATCTTACCTTGGCACTGGAGGAAGGGCACGAGGCGGGCACTGAAAGACAAGACAGGGACCAAAGTCAACTCCTGTAAGTCTGAAACCACCTCTTTCCTGAGCACCTGCTAAAGCACTTCACAGAAACCAGCTGTTTCCAGGTATGGTCAAAACGTGCTAAGTATGTTTTGCTTCATATGCCTCTTAAGCAGTGAGAGACTCCTGATGGAGATGTTACATAAAAGTGCTCAGCACGACACAGGAATAACATGCTTTTGCCAAAGTTCTGATGGGTGCTGCATTAGGGACATGCACCTAACAGCTGCGTGTGGGGCACAGCTTGCATTTCAACTTCACTTAAATAATTTGCACTTTTCACATAAGGTACTGGCTAATCGGTCATTCTATTTAAGTATCAAAATACTGCAATAATGTGTGTGTTTAATATACACAGTATACAGCAGGAGCTGAGTGTTTTCTATTAATGAAGTTGTAAATTCAGAACAATATTAAGTAAAAGCAGTAAAAAGGAAATAAGCTTATTTATGAAAAATATTTAAAAATATGATAAAGTATTAATTTTCATATAACTTTGAAAATATTTACTGGCGAGTCAAACACAACTAAAATCTAAAATTAAGTATCTCTTATTAACAACCTGAAACTGAGCTCCTGCACTTTCTTTCATCTAGAAAAAGGAATACAGTTTACTTTCAGATTTTGTATTATGTAAGTATATTGAAAGAGTATAGAAGAACAAATTATTTCCCACTCTCCAAAAATTCAGTTGATATCAGAAATAAAAAAGGCTGTAAGACTGGTAAGTCTCAAGGATCCACAAACTTACCACTTGTTTCTTTCCCATATCATTTGACGCTGGTCCCTGAAAGAGGCACTGTGAACTGTTCTTCGCTCCCTCACACCGCTCATGCTGAACCTCAGCTAATTCTGAACTAAAAATAAGCTTCTAGCAGCCAGGATTAGCTGGACGTGAACCTTCCTGTTCCTGGGTTAGGGCCCAGTACTACCCCCGTTTGAAACAGCAGCAGTTTGTTCCATAGCAGCAAACATTACTGGCACTGGAAAACCTGTAACTCCATATGCTGGTCCAGGCTCCAGCGAGCAAGTTTTACTTAGTTTGGTTTACCCAAAACAGAGACCTTGTGCAAGGAAGGTTTGCAGGATTAGGCCTCAAATCTCTCACCTGGATTTTGGCCATGCTGAAGACTGACAGCATTTGCCATTTACACAGGTAGAGAACAGCACACCCTGAGCAGCATCCAGCAAACTGGTCAGGACTGGTCACACCATCCAGGTGCACCACCGTAAGGGAGAAAAAATATTGATAAAGGTCAGAGCTCACTACTTTTGTTGTTTCCTGCATTCCTGTGGCAGTCATTATTAAACATTTAGGAGAGCTGATATTTTAAAAAACTAAAGTCTGAAAAAAAATCCTAAAAAAAAAAGGCTTCTATACAGCACAGCAGTATACCCGTGTTCTGTAGTACTTCTCTATGATTGTTACCTTCTACAAAACAACTGAAAAGCAACTTAATTTCTGTATCGTTTATTCCTTGCAAGAAAGGCAGTCATGTGCAAGTGGTGACTACTCGTCTGTCCCATCTGCATCCAGGTACCCAATTGCCACACAAATACGAGCTTTACCCCATTCGTTTCCAGTCAGAGTCTGAAGGAACTCACTCCTGGCTCCAGAGAAAGGTTGAGTTTGGGTTCCCAGGGACATTTACTTTCTGGCAGAAGAGCTGCCATGGTGCTCCTGAAGCCCAGAGGTTCCCACAACCCAGGCAGCCGCTGCCCTGTGTCAGCACACACGACCCGGGCCACGGGACGGTGGGTCACACCTGGGAACTCTCACGGAAGCAGAAAAAAATCCAAAGTACCCAATTCCCGGGTGTCGGTGCCGGGATGCAGAGCTGAAAATGCCATCGCTCCTAAGCGCGGCTTGTACGGACCGGCACCGAGCAGATGAATTTACCGCCCGAGCGCGGTGAGCTGCGCTGCCGCCACCAGCCCCCCGACGTGGCACCGAGGCGGCTGTTACGCACAAAACACTTAACCAGCCTTGCCAGATTTAAAGCTTTGTATACATGTTATTTTTTAAGGTATATGTATGGATGACAACATGAAAGCGATGGGGAAATCCTTGCTCGCGGCGGGCTCCATCCCGCCGCCTCCGCGCCCGGCGGGGATGCAGGAGCCCCGCGCCCGGTGCGCCCCGCTCCGCGTCGCACCTCCCTCTCCCC